GACAACGGGCTGATTGGCTAAAAGGTACATGGTCTCAGAAGTATTTCAACTTGTCCTATGCCATGACTTGCTTTGTTTCTCTTGATAATGCTTATCTTTAAGTGTCTTTACCAGATAATTCGGTGACAGAGGACCCTTGGAACAGCCACGGTCCGCCTCCTCATGACTATGGACTTCCCCAGGACCCCCTCTGGTTGCCCACGCTTGGCTAACTGAGTTAGGCAGAGACTAAGACTGTCACAGTCTGGCATTACCCATGCGCTGCCCTTAATCATGACACATTTTTAGCCAAGGATGGGTAAGATGTCCCATGACAAGTACTCCTAAGACAGGACATCCACATGGCCAGGTGCATGATCCAATGACGGGCAAGTCTTGATCAGAGGTGACACAACTTAAGACAGGCAAAAATGCATAAGATTAGAGGAAGGAGATAGCCATCTCTCCACAGGGAGCTTCCTATGAGGTGAGTTACCCATGAAATAAAGTCAGTCTGGCCTTAAAATAAAAATAAAAAGGGGGCTACATGGGGACCTAAAGGCCCCACCTTGCATAGGTCCAAAAGGAAGTCACTGGGGGCATGGCTTGGCTTGCTTTGAAAGTCTGAAGAATACTTCCACACTGCTGAGGAGTGCATGATCAGCGTATGACCATTCTTAAGATACACCCTCGGGGGTGGGGGGGAGGGGGGATTTCCAGGTGCCTTTATAAGCTCTGTAACACCTGCAATAAATGAGTCCCTGCCTGACTAGACTCCCCATTGCATCTGAGTGTCCCCAGGTAATGGGGGTGGCGTGGACTGGCAAACAGCATGCTTACTCATCCCCAATCATCATGTCCCCGGGGGTCACTGGTTCAAATCCCCACCAATTGAAGATTGATTTTACTTTTACTTATGTGTTTCTGTGTGTCTCTGAGTCCATGTATGTATGTGCACATGTGTCCTCTGAGGGCAAAGGAAGATGTTGGATCCCATGGAGCTGGAGTTATAGGCAATCGTGAGCTTCCATATGTGGGTACTGGGAGCCTTACTCTGCAGGAGCAGCAAATTCTCATAATTTATTAGCCACCTCTCCTGCAAATATGTTCATGCATATGCTTAAAAGTAAATAAAAAATAAACACATCTCATTACTGTATTATTTTGAGGTGTTTTCTGGAAAACCATTTAGTAGAAAATTAGCTGATTGTATAAAGCATAAGTATTTTAAGTCCAATTTTGCAAAGAGCCATATTTGATTTTTCAGTAAACTGTGTACAAATTGCATAGTTTATGGGAACATATGCCTCTGCACTCCTATAAGTAAAAATACATGTAGGCCTATATCTAGGCCTTAATGTAGTAGCTTAGCAATAACAGACAGAATGCCTTCCTTTGGGAATGAGAGCAGGAAGAACTGATGAATGATGACATTTCTTTAAAATTTTCATATATGTATCTATTGAAGATTTTCTCCCACTCAGTGGGTTTGCTCTTCCCTTCCTGGGTCATTTCTTTTTCTGTACAGAAACTTTGTAATTTAATGAGGTCCCAGTTACTGATTGTTGGCCTTAGTGCCTGAGCAGCTGGTGTCTGATTTGACAGTTCTTTCCTATGCCTATATCTTAGGGGGTGCTGCCTATGCTTTCTTCTAGCGGTTTCTGAGTTTCAGGTTTTGTATCGAGGTCTTTGATCCATTTGGAGTTTTCTTTTGTGCAGGGTGAAAGATAAGAATCATATTTCATTCTTCTGTGGGTAGAGATCCAGTTTTGCCAGCACCATTTGGTAAAGATGCGATCTTTCCTCCATTGTGTGTTCTTTGCACCCTTGTCGAATATCAGATGGCAGAAATTACATGAACTCATGTTTGGGTCTTCTATTGTGTTCCATTGTTCTACATGTCTGTTTTTGTAACATGCTGCTTTTATGACTCTATTTCTGTAACACAGTCTGAGATTTGGTATGGCAATCCCCCAGCATTATTCCTTTTGCCCAAGTTGTTTTGGCTATCTGGGCTCTTTTGTAATTCCACATGAATTTTAGGATGATTTTGTCAAGCTCTGTAAAGAATGTTGTGGGCATTTTGATTGGGATTGCATTGAATGTATAAATTGCTTTTGGTAAGATAGTCATTTTCACAATATTGATTGTATCAATCCATGGACATTGCACGTCTTTCCATCTCCTAGTGTCTTCCTCTATTTCTTTCTTTAGAGTTTTGAAATTTTCACTGTAGATATCTTTAATGTCTTTTTGTAGGTTTATTCCTAAATATTTTTTGAGGCTATTGAGAATGGGAGGGTTTCCTCTACTACTTTTTCTGATTGCTTGTTATTGGTATATAGAAAGATTATTGATTTTTGTAGGTTGATTTTTGTATCCTACCACTTCACTGTAAGTATTGATCAATTCAAATAGTTTTTTACTGGAATTTTGGGGATCTCTTATGTACAGTATTATATCATCTGCAAATACAGATAATTTAACCTCTTCTTTTCCAATTGGTACTCCTTTAATTTCCTTCTCTTGTCTTATTACCCATGCAAGAGTTTTAAGCACTATATTGAAAAGGAGTGGAGATAGTTGACAGCCTTGTTTGGTTCCTTATTTTAATGAGAATGTTTCCAGGTTTTCTCCATTTAGGATGATGTTGACTATGGGTTTGTTGTGTATAGCTTTAATTATGTTGCGGTATGTTCTCTCCAGGCAAATTCCTTCTAGGATTTTAACATGAATGCATGTTAGATTTTTGTCAAATGCTTTTTCTGCATCTATTGAGATGATCATGTGGTTTTTGTCTTTAAATCCATTTATATGTTTTATTACATTTATTGACTTCTGTATGTTGAACCATCCCTGCACCTCTGGAATCAAGCAGATTGATCATGGTGAATGATGTTTCTGATGTGTGTTTGTAAAACTTTCAGGGCAGTAGGAAGCAATACAACAACTTGAACTAACAGAAAGATGCCTTCTGGAAATGTTATTCTTGTTGAAGGGCCAAAAAAAGGGCTTTCGTGCCTAAAGTTAGCAATATGGGAGAACAACAGATGCAAAGTTCTACATTGAAAATATCAAGTCTAAAGAATACTTTGTGGTTCTTTCCCCAGCAGCTGGCAAGATGGAGGAAGTGGAGCAGAAAAAGAAGCAGACCTTCTGAAAGTTCACCTACCGCGGCGCAGACCTGGACCAGCTGCTGGACATGTCCTATGACTAGCTCATGCATCTGTACAGTGCTCGCCAGCAACGCCACCTCAACTGGCCAGCAGAGGAAGTAGAACTTAAGGCCAAGAAGGAGGCCCCGCCCATGGAGAAGCCTGAGGTGGTAAAGACACACCTCCTTGATGTGATTATCTTGCTTGAGAATAGTGGGCAGCATGGTGGGCGTGTACAATGGCAAGACCTTCAACCAGGTGGAGAGCAAAGGTGGAGAGCAAGTCTGAGATGATCAGCCACTACCTGGGGGAGTTCTCCATCGCCTACAAGCCTGTGAAGCATGACCCGCACGACATAGGTACCATCCACTCCTCCCGCTTCATCCCCCTCAAGTTTAAAATAAAAAAAAAAGAATACTTTGTTTTTCAGTTTTTGGAAGTACATACATGAGTATTTTTTGTGCATTATTTCCATCCCTCCCAGTCCCAGTTATAGTATAACTCATCTCATATCCCTCCCCACCACACCCTCCCGAGTTTTGTCCACTTCTTTGATTATTAATGTTACATACACATGTACACATTTCTAAGTTTACATATATAGTTGATAGAGCATATTTAGAAGAGATTTCATTGTTGCAGTTTCTGTCTTATGCCTAGAATATATTAAGTAGAAGGAGGTATCTTGTCAGGATGCAAATTTTCAAGGGAGAAACTCAATCAAGGATCCTATCCAGCTGTAAGGCCTAGTAACAACAACAGGCAGGGTCAGTTGGTATATATGTAGAAATTTATCTTAGTGGTAAGCAACAACTAATTAAACTCAGGCACTCTCAATGGCAGGGAACTCCTGTGTAGTACTGTAAACACAGTCAAGTGCACATGGCTAAAAAGGTCATAGACCCTAGAGAAGAACCAATGTCTGTCACTTCCCTAATCAAAGTATATTCTTACTATCTTCTAAATTCGTACCCTGATATTTATAGAAAAGTTTACCTCTCACTACTCATAAAAGAAGTTTCATTTTCCAACAGACAGAAACTATTGCAAAGTTCCACAACTGGATAAATACAGAGAATAAGTGACTCTGAGATGTGCAGCCCTAAGTGATACACTTATAATGCATCCTCTAGACCTAAAGCTCAGAGAACATCCAAAAAAATGACGTGGAAGGAACATACTTTAAATTTTTACCTTTGTTTATAGTAACACCAAAGCCAGTTGTCACCTCTATCCTGAATGTTCATCCTCCCTATAACTTGGCATCACAGTGCCTCTCTACAGGATCCAGCTGCTCTTAGACACTGTTTAAGTTTCACATACAAATGCATCATGTGAGTAAAGGCGATCCACAGCCAAAAGGACTTGATTCCTGACTTCCTTTTCACACCCTCTTTAGTGTGTGTATGGGTGGGCTTGTTTGCAGGTTCCTGTGGATGATGAGGTGCGTACGTGTGTGGGGGTCCGTGTACACATCTGGGAATGTATACCTGAGGGATAGTGATCAACCTTGAGTCTTTTTCTTCAGAAACTGCAAGCCTATTTTAGAGGTAGGATATCTCACTGTGACCTGAGGCTATTAATTAGCTTTGTCATGGTGTTGAGCACCCGATATTCCCCTGTCTCAGCATCCAGATTCATGGAACAACCATATGATACCATTCCTGACATTTACATGGGTTTGCAGATCAGATTTATGTCCTCAGGATTGTGTGGCAAGCCCTTATTGACTTTATTGACTGAGCCATCTCCCCAGCACTCCCTCTTTACACATTCCATGCTTCTCATTATGTGAACCAGCGTAATCTATTGGGGCCCTCTTTTCTTTCACTTCTTACATGAATTGTAAACAAGCATACAAAGGCATACCAATCAAAAATATTTATTATTTAATGAATGCAGAATAAAATGACTATGAATTATTATTGTATGCTAATGGTTTCTCTGTTTTTCAGTGAAGTCATACTAATAACTCAGAATCAGATATGTATTAGAGTAAGTGAGCATAACAGTATCATAGAGAATAGGGATTTCCAGATGCATATGTGAGCTGACTAAAGGAACTGTGAAACAAAGGATGGATGATCCCTGTAACTAGAGAGAATGGGAGGTATGAGAGAGGAAGACATGTACAGTGTCACTGATCAAGAAGGTGGAGGGTGACATGGAGGGGATGGCAGAAGACAACCCAGCAGGATCCAGCCAGTCTGATGTTCTTTAGACAGGAATGAAGCAGAGTTGGTAGGTGGGTGGCAGTGAAGCAAGCCCACTGGTTACTGGTGTTATATCGATGTCCTTTAGGTGAACGAGAGGTTTCAGTTTAAAGTTCTGTAGAATGGTGGTCAAGAATAGAAAGAGCTCCATGCGAGCCAGGCCTTCTCCTGCACACATCCTTTTTCCTGGAACAAAATTTCATAGAAGGTAAATATGACTTTTTCATATGCATGTATGTGAGAAGCTTCATGCTTGTAACTGACTCACTAGAATATAAACAATTGAGAAATTATTAGATGGATTGTTAAATGAATAAATGCATGAAAAGACAAGCAGTTAAGCAAATAAGCAAAGGTGGGATAAATTTATTTCCCATCTCACATATGATCTTAAAGAAATATTATACTCAAAAAGTACTTCTGAGTTGGATGTGTTTTCACACATCTATTATCAGAGCAACTGGGAGGCTGAGAAAGGGGATGAAATATTCATTATCACAATCACAAAACTAAGGGAGGACGTTTCATCTTCAGAGAAAACACACATACTGCAGGTGTGGAGATACAACACCCATGACATTATCTGAATGGGGAAAGAGCAGGGAGCTCTATGATCATTTCAGGATGTGTTATATGTCTACAATAGCTCCATCATCTAAGAGTGGTCTGAAACTTTCTGACATTCTCATTCTGAATTGAGGGAAAATGTGCTGTGTCAGCAGTTCATGGTTCATGGATTTTGTTATAATGATCTATTTTTCTTATTATTATTCTCTGTTACTGTGCCTTTTAAGGGAACTGTAACACTTTGAATTATGTTGCTCCATTTAGTCGATACTATGTGACATATGAGGAAACAATGTGTTGATGTCTTGTCCACAATCCTCTTGCTCACAGATGCATGGTTCTCTCTATGCACTAGTACAACTTCACTAGCATCAATTGCTTCCTTATATGTTTCCCTGAGTGGGTTGAGGTCCCTGCTGCTTTTCTGTGTTTGGGGCACTTGTGTCTGCATAGCTGATCCTGCAGATGAGTGACACAGCAAGAAGACATGAGGTCAAATTATGATAAAGTGTCCATCTTCATAATGAGTGAGGAAAGACTAAATGAAGTTCCCTTTCCAGGAAGATGTTATTGGCTGCTCTGTGATGTATCTAAAGGAAGAATGGAAATAGTCTATACTCTACCTTTCTCAACATAAATGAAATGAGTGGAAAAACTAGTCTCACTTTTCTAGCCTGACAGGGAAGATGTCTCATTAACAAGGAAGTGGGCACCAGGAGTGGTGCTGCTGATCATTCATGAAGAGCAACTCTGCAACACCATGGGAGTCACAGTGTGAGCTCCAACTGTTCCTTATTTTCATCTTGACCCATGGAAATGAATTCTTGTTACCTGCTGAAAAAGGCATAAAGTAGCCACTTTTCTTAAAGTTTCCTTTCTCATCTAGAAAGTGGGCAGGGTCAAACTTCTCTGGGTCGGAGAACTCCTTGTTGTCCGTCAGTACAGATGACAGGGATGTTAACACAGTTGTTCCCTGGAAACAACAGAAACAGAGTGAAACCAACTTACAAAGAAATCATTGCAGAAATCATTGAAGAAGAGTGTGAGGAAAGGTTGAAAGAACCAGAGGTGGGTACAAGGAAACAGTGTTGTCAAGACACAGCAAAGGCAGTTGTACATATGAATCCACAGTGGTTGTGACAGCATACACAAGTCCTGTGGAATACCAAGACAGACCAAAATCCAGCATGAGTTGGGGGAGGTAGGTAAGAAGCTCTACCCCTAGCTGAGAAACTACTGACAATTGTTAGCTACTGGTAGATGTAGAATCAGTTTCCTTTAATAATGTGCTGCTGGGTAGGTTGAGCAGGCTCAAGGAGATGGACCCATTCGCAAGGACATTTGAAGAACCAAAATTAGACTTAATAGGCCTTAAAAATAATAAAGCACATGAAGTTATGTGCTGTAAGGCAGTGGGTGGTTGATCTGAGAGGGGATGGGGAAGGGGCCTGAATATGATCAAATTATAGTATATGAAATTCTCAAAGAATCAATTTTTTAAATATTTAAAACCTTATTAAAGAAGTCACAGATGAAAAAGTATAAGGGAAATCAAAAAGTTCAATCTTTTGCTTCATATAAGAGAAAATAAGTTCAAAGAAGAGCAGTGACATTTTCAGCAGACAAATCAGGTAACAAGTAGTTAGGGGTTTGACTAGAGTGGTAATGACTTGGCTAACCTGCCTTCCAGGAATTTATCATGAGTACTCAGGCTAAAATGCTTGGTTACGTTATCTTTTATCTCAAGTTTGGGCATAGGTTTATGTTACCACCTGAAAATCTAATTCTTCAGGTCTGTTTTCACACA